TTATATTTTTTTTTTTTGCTAATTAGGACCATCATATATCCACTATGATACATTTGATTTGAAAACAATGATGGCAATTGATGGGTAAATAAATATTTATGAATATATAATATGATTATTATTTTTTTTTTTGTTACTAAAATATTAACATTATTAATATTAAAGAGAAAAAATATATAAAGAAACTACCAAAATAACCAAGAATATAGCATACTATGTTCCTCGCAATGTAGATCCACAACAGGTATATAAATAATTTTTATTCTATCAAAAAATGGATTGTATTTATATGGAGGAGAACTAGATTATATAAATAAATTATTTTTTATTTTTAAAGTTGGCAGATTTTATGGGGCGTGGTAATGTATGTGAATTACAAAAAGTATTTGTGAATAGTAAATTTGTAGCAGCTGTAGGATATTTTGGCAATCTGATGTGTAAAGATGATGAATATAATGAAGGAAAATAGTATGAAGGCATTAAGAAGAATGAGAAAAAATATTCAACTCTATTTATATGATATTGGTAAATCATCATCATTATCATACAAGCATATTTTTAGAATTTATAATTTGTAAGAAAAACTATTTATATTTATGTTTTTATTATTTAGTGAAATTATTAATTGATTACGGTGCTGATCCAAGGTAAATTTTCATAATAATAATAATAACAATAATAACAAAATAATAACATCTATTTCAATTCCATACTTACATCGTTCTTCACTTCCTTAAAAAGGATTTTGAATAAAAATAAACAAACTCCTAAACAATTAGTTGACCTTGATAATCAAGAATTAAAAAATCTGCTTCAACAAGCTACTTTGGCTTTACAAATGGTATGATATTTCTTAATAGATATATTATATAGGTGATTGAATTAAAGAGAAAAGAAAGAGATAATTTCTCATCCTATAAATCATTCATTAAAAATTATTATAAAAGGGTGCAGATATTGCTCAAGATGATGATGATGATGATGATGGAACAGCAAGTGATGCAAGTGACTAATAAATGAATACAGTTTATTCAATTATTTATCCAAGTAATGATAAATAATAATGATAGATTATTTGATAATAATTTATTAATGATATTAATTAATATATATTTCTTCATCCTCTCCTCAAAATAAATAATAAAAGGATTATTACAATATAATTACAATCTATTTTATATACTCTATTATATAATAATAAATAAAATATATTAATTAAAAATTAAAAATATTATCAATTGATAACATTTTAAATGTTATCCTATTTAAAAGATTAAAATCCTGTCCATGATTGTTGACTCATTTTATATGAATAATTACTATTACTATTATTTTGTTGTTGTTGTTGTTGTTGTTGTTGTTGCTGTTGCTGCTGCTGCTGTTGTTGTTGTTGTTGTTGCTGTTGTTGCTGTTGTTGTTGTTGTTGTTGTTGTTGTTGTTGTTGTTGTTGTTGTTGTTGTTGTTGTTGTTGTTGTTG